GGGATTTTCTTTTATCTTCTTCTATTGCATATCAACACTCACTACATCTTGAGATGATGCAGGTGGTCCTGGTTGCAGCCAACCCGGTGGTGGCCAGAATATCTTAGAATTCCCAGGATAATATTTTAATGGCCCCCCGTTCCCACCCCCTACCTTAAATACACCAATATTGCCGACATTTTGCATAACACCATCTCTCTTGATACTGGAATGGAATTGACTAGCAAAATACAGGCAATTAGGTTCTAACCCAGTAAATTCTAGAGTCGAAACAGAAAATGAGAATTGGTCTCCAAGAAACAACACTTGATCATCGAAGCTGTTAACCTCTTCCAAATCACGCAACTCTTGGTTCAGCTTAAAGCATCTGAAATCAGTCAAGCCCTTGAAAGGCGGGCAAACCAAGAGAAGGATCCCGGATAACTTAACCAGGCGTAAACAACAGCATATATTAGGTGCAGGCATGGCAGGTCGAAAATCCTCAATCAACTGTAAAGACAGTTCCTCAAATACCAAAACCCTGCAACATGTATCTATGGTATAGAACTTCCCATTGAAATTGATAACATCAGTAAAGATTAAGCCATCATAATCTTGAATTATAGTACATTTATAATCTCCTCCTAACAGAATAGAACACAACTTACAATCACTTCTAACTGCCAGGAGAACATAATCATCACTGGATGAACGGGGTCTCGATGACAAAGCCACACTTAAAATACTAATGCCCATCCAAGATAAACCTGAATTTAAAGAAACGTTGTATACCCTGCACAACTCTGAGACACGAAAATCCAGCAAGTTCAAAACTTTGGGAAACCCATAAGGCGGTTGGCGAACGAAGCGCTTCGACAGTGGATTTTCAAATCGAGTAAGCCCGACACTTGTCTCTTCGATTCTGAGCAACCAGCTGCCGCTGTTCTCCGGACTGGAGTTAGAAGCCGGCGGATCCAGGCGATAGACTGTGCTTTCAGACAGGATAAAGTGCTCATCGTAATTATTGAGTTCGCCGGTGAACATTTCGATTTCGTTTATGAAGGTGGGGAGTTTGACGGGAAAAAGAGGGGATCGACGAATCGGAGGGATAGAGGAGCGCCATGAAGCACAGACGGAGCGCAATCGGAGCATGTCGATATGAGTTTGAAGTTTTTCAGCGATTAGAGATGGTAGATCTTTTGGAAGATCGGCCCACCTTCTCGAGCTCATGTCTTCCAGTCGCCGTCGTTGCCTTACTGCTTCCATCGTTTTTGGAATTTGAAACCCTAAAGAAATTTGGGACGCTGCAAGAGAAACGAAGACGATTAGAACTAAAGAGAACAAACGCTGCATTTTCACTTTTCACTTCTCATGTTCGTGGGAATTTTGTTGTTTTTTTTTTCTTTGAGAAAGTAATTTTATTGTAGTTTTTTAAACTGAACTATTTACAATTGTTTTAAATATATATATATAAAAATCATTCCAGCTAAAAACAAATTATTTTTTGCATAGAAAAAAAAATCTAACCTTAAGAATTAAAAACTTATCTTTTATTATTAATAACATGTTAATTTAAATGAAAATTTTGATTCTTTTTGAGTATCGAATTTAAATATTTTAAATAAAAAAAACAACTTTCAATATGAGAAGTTAGAAAAAAAATAATCTTGTCTTTTGCTTCCATAAAAAAAAAAAACCCTCTTGTCTTTTGCCTTTAAATTATGACATGTCTTGTCTTTTTTTGTGCCTTAACTGTCCATTAGTATGTATATATTGCTTCATTCAAGAAAACCCACACACAATTGCTATGGTCATACAAAATACCATAAATAAGTTTAGTTTGTATAATCTTTATCATTTTATAACTACATAAATAAACTAATTTTAAACTTTTAAATAATAAAAATTAACTATTCTACCTGCTATCATCTGCTAACAACCATCAATTACTTTTACCAGTCAAACCACGTACATTTATATTACTTTTGTGTGGTTTTAACAGTCCTATCGTGCAGCCATAACCACGGCTGGGCATTGTGCTTAGAAATTGTATGCACTTAAAAGGCGATTGATTCAAAATGCATTTTCAACAAAGTCTACAACTTTAAATCACTTCTTACAAGTTACAAGTTGAGCCAACGCCAATGGACTAAATGACATATTTGCAATGACTATCCAAAAACTTTTGGATCACTGAGCAGACTTTTAAGAGGTATTTTATACAGTTGCCCCACAATAAAGTAAAGAAACTAAGTTACGTAAGAATCCTGCATATTGAATTTTAACCCACATCAACCTCATTCACTACAAATGTGGAATTTGTTTTTGATACCCATCTTGGCACTTGCAGTTTGAGAATCACAGAATGATATCCGACACTCCATATTTCTTGAAGAACTCATTTTCAAGAAAGTAGATGTACCTCAGAATTGGCCCTGTAAAGCAGAATTTAAATTAAGAATTAGTTTTCTTCTAGGAAAGAAGGTGTTTACAAGAAATATTCCATGCCAACAAGATTGTTATTTAGCTGAACCAGTGGTAGATTTCCACAGTGGGGAGTAAACAAGCTAAATTCACTGCTATTATACTTGTAAGTAGAACCTTGGTCAAGGATTTCCAATGCCTAGCTCTATAAAATAGGATTACTATTTTCATCAAAGAACTGCCAATTCCATATACATGTACAGGCAAATAAGCACAAACATATCAAAGATGGAAACAAAACAAAGATCCGATAGAGAAGGTTATCATTTTGCATATTTTGCTTCAAACATAGATAGTCTGGATGAATCTAAACAATTATTTATTATACCTTTTATATGCCAACCTGCAATTGCAGATTTCCTTTTATCTTCTTCTCCTTTCCCATATCACAACTCACTCCATCTGACGAGGATGGAGATGGACCTGATTGCAGCCAAGCCGGTGGTGGCCAAAATATCTTAGAACACCCAGGATAAGATGCCAGTGACCCTTCCTTCCTATCCCATAGCTTATATACACCAATATTGCCTAGATTTCCCCCAACACCATCTACCTCAATATTGAAACAGGACTGACCAGAATTATCAACAAAATAAAGGCAATCAGGTTCTAACCCTGTAAATTCTCGAGTGGAAACAGAAAATGAAAATTCCTCTCCAAGAAACAACACTTGATCACCAAAACTGTAAACCTCCTCCAGACCATGCAGCCCTTGATTCAGCTTAAAGAATCTGAAATAATAATTACGATTATCTTCATACGGACCAAGGCCACCTGAATAGAATGTAGAATTACGGGAAACCAAGAAAAGGTGCTCAGATGACTTAACCAGGCGGAAATAATCACCATAATTGTCTCCACTCATGGCGGGTTCAAAAACCTCAATCAACTGCAATGAGAGTTCGTCGAATACCGAAATCCTGCTAGATGTATCCACGGCATAGAATTTTCCATTGAAATTGATTATATCATGAAAGATTTTTTTACCACCATCTTCACATACAGTCCATTCACCATCCCCTAACTTAATAGAACACAAAAAACCTGGGCTGTAGATCGCCAGGAGCACATAATCATCATTGGATGATTTGGGTCTCGACGACAAAGCCACCCTAGAAACATCAAGGTCCATGGCCGATGGAAAGCGTAGACTAAGCAAAACATTGTATACCTTGCACAACTCTGAGACGCGAAAATCCAGTAGGTTGAAATCCTTGGGAAACCCACAAGGCAGTGGGCGGAGAGAGCCCTTTGACAGTGGTTTTTGAAGCCGAACGCGCCCGGGAGTTGTCTCTTTGATTCTGAACAACCAGCTGCCACTGTTCTCCGAATTGGAGTTAGAAGCCGGTGGATCAAGGCGATAGATTATGCTTTCATAGAGAATTAAGTCACGGTTCTCCGAGTTGGAGTCAGAAGCCAGTGGTAGGCGGCGATAGATCGGTCTTTCACGGAGGATTAAGTCACGGTTCTCCGAATTGGGGTTAGAAGCCGGTGGGAGACGGCGATAGATTGGTCTTTCATAGAGGATTGCGTCACGGTTCTCCGAATTGGAGTCAGAAGCCCGTGGATGACGGCGAAAGATAGGTCTATGGGGGAAGCGGGGCACGCGGGACGGCAGAATGATGGGAAAATGAGTGGATCGGCGAAATGGAGGGATAGAGGAGCGCCATGAAGGGCAGACGGAGCGACATCGGAGGATGTCGATGGGAGTTTCAAGTTTCTCAGCGATTTGAGTTAGTAGGTCTTTTGGAAGATCGGACCAACTTGAGCTCATGTCTCACGGTCGCCGCCGTCGCTGACTTTGATACTTCGCTGTTTTGGATTCTGAATCAGAAAATAACGGAATACCAGGTGTCAGCCGCTGTTGCTTTTAGAGGATTGTTGGGTGATCTAGGGATTCAAGAGGATGAAGGAAAAGGCTGAGGGTTTTAAATGCTAAAACGGTGTGGTTTTATTAAAGGAATTCCCCTAAAAAATTGCCATACCTAAACTACCCAGTTGGCAAATTGGTTGTGTTTGAAATTGTTAGGGAGTCCTGTAGTTTTGTTAATATCTTATTACTCCAGCGAGATTTAGTTATTTTAATTTGATTTTTTACGTAAAATTTAATTAAATAATTTTATATAATAAATATATTATAATTAAATTTTTTTTATTTAAATAAAATTACTTAAAAAAACTACATATAAAAAAGAAAAAAATTTTAATTGTTATTTATTTATTATATAAAATTATTTAATTATATTTTATATAAAAATTAAATTGAAACAACTAAATCAAACATAAAGGAATATAAGAAAAATTATATTATTATTTGATAATTACTTTGAAAAAAAATCTTATTTATTAATATAACCACCAAATTAGATAAAATATCAATTAAAATTAATTTAATAATAATAAATTAACACTTTTATAAAATACCGTGTGAAAAAACACTATAAGAAAGCAAATCCAATCACAACTTAATACTCTTTTCAAAATAATTATCAAATAATAACATATATAATATATCTGTGTGTGTGAGAGAGAGAGAGAGAGATAGAGAGACAGAGATAACAAAATACTTAGAGAAGCTGCAACTCATTTAGTATTTTACAAGAATCCCAAATGCAAGCACGTAAGAATTATAAAACATGCAAGCTGCTGGAAAAGGTTCAATGCTTTTTTGGACATGAAAGAAGTTGTAAATCTATCCATCGTCAATATAGCACTATCTGTGAATTACCCGGCAACACAATGACCTTATTTCTATAAAGGTAATCTTGTATTTGATCCTAGAGGAAAAGGAGACAAACTGAAATGCAGCAGAAAGGTGGGCGCAAATAATGCATTATGAATGAATAAAATGTCAACATACTCTCAGACTCCAAGCCGTGCAGTGCCTGCTTCGCGGCATAGAATAGATATAACATCCAAAACAAAATTCAGCCTACAAAACAGAAAGTTCCCACACGGCAAACACTGGCTGAGCATGAAATTTGTCCAGGTGTCAATTAATCAAAGATAAATACGAAAGGATTGCAGAATATTTGATATTGAACCTATGTCAACCTCATCCTCTTATCGGGAATTTTCTCAAGTCTTGGTGGATGATTCTCTGATGCATTTAGTTTGCTCTCTCTCGGCTTTCTGCTGCTGTTGACAAACTCTGAGAAAGATGGAATTGGAGGCAGCTTCATACTTGTGCAAGCACTTGGTGAAGGCGACACATTTACAACATCTGGGTTTGTGTTCCCATGATGTTCACCATTGCTAGTTTCCTTTAATTGCTCATTCAACAAGTCAAGAGATATTGCTGGAGGTTCCTCCTCAGAGATACCGTTACGCTCCTGAGGCAAAGTGATACTGGTACCAAGCCGATCCATTAACTCTGTAGAACTTGTTGTTGATAGCCATCTCACCGTACTTGCAACTTGTGAATAATAGAATGATTTCCCACTCTTCCCATATTTTGTAAAGCACTCATTTTCAAGGTAAGCAGATGATGCTTCAAAATCAATCCTGTATAGGAATTACAGTAATTAGTTTTCTTCTGAGAAAGAGAATGGTGTGCATAAGAAATTTTCTGGTGCCAACAAGAATGTTAGTAGCACCGCCAGAGAAGTTGGATTCGAAGGATAGGAAGGGCAAAGTTGAATTTCCTGCTTTATGCATGTAAAAAGCAGCCTGGAATCAATGATGTCTGTCTCTGTATAATTTGTCAGTCACGTGAACAACACATATGCCAATTTCTCAAATCAGATAAACATTCCATAAAAGTAATCTTGTATTAGACCCTCAAGAAAAAGAGGAAAACTAAAATATAGCAGAAATTCATGAGGAAAAAAACCCAAGGTAGAAGTAAAAGGTGAGTGTACTTTAAGTCACCAAGCCTCTGCTGGGCCTGCTTCAGAGCATCCAACAGTCTTTGCCTACTTGATTCTCTGAGTGTCTGGGATATGGCATTTTTGTCAGGTTTATTGACCTGTTTAGAATTAAGCAGTTATGTAAGTTAAACTTTAAAGCAGTTCCAAGTTAGCCAATTTCAAAAAGTAGTACATATAGAAAAGATCTAACATTTAAAAGAAAATTCAGCCTACAAAATAAGAAGTCTCCACCACAGCAAAAAGGTGAAAACACCTGTTTTTCTTGAGTTCTGTTCTGATAATACTTCTCTTCTGCCCTCTCCAATAAATTAATCTTCTCATCTAATCTTGGTTTTTTTGAAAATTTTGACCTGGACATGCTTTTGGCGAGCTCAATACCATCTGGCAATTGAAGAGATTAAACAAGTAAAACTAATAGAAAAAGCTTCCCCTTTTTTTCCTGTACTTTTTTTGGTATAAGTCAAGGAACCAGGGGCCCCCAACATAATATTTGAATTTACTAGAAAATGTATACCATCAGAATCAGAGATATCTTCCTCAGAGCCACTTGCTTCGTCATCACGATTCCAGAATTCAGAGTATTGTTCATTAATAACATCTGTAGAGCTGAAATGGGAAACACATAAAACAGTCAACTCATACAATATTAATAAGCCTAAACTTAGCATCAAGGCTAATTACAATAAGCAACACCACCAAAAAATTGGGAAAAAAATATCTTCACTTTTCAAAACTAAAATTTTAAAATGGCATAAACTGTAGCAAAGATCAAAAATCAATAATCTTACATTTCGAAAAGAACGATGAAATTCTTTTCATGTATCACAAGAATCAAAACTTCAGTTTAATTAATCTAATACCTCCATGTTGTAGAGTACTGTAAATCTGTAATACAGTAGCCCTTTTTGTATGTACAAACAGCAATCCAAGTACTATTGCCTTGCCACTTAAAAATGACAGTCATTCTCAATCAACATAAAGCACAGATGACAAATATGAGATCTCTAGTACCTAACATGCTGATTGGAGATATAAAGGTTTGTGGTCATTGCATTTTACAGTCCACAGAATAGAGCTTTTCAATAAGAATACATATCGCTGAAAAAGGAGAAAATATGTATCTTTTCTTCTGCTAAGCATGGAACAGAATGGACCATTGGCCAAACAAATAAAAACAAAATAAGGAATAGATCACACCTGCTTGTTAAAACTTGTGAAAAGCTATTTCTCTGGCGAACAGTACAAGAAGTTGTGAGCTCCTCCAGATACCTCGCAACTAGATTGGGATGTTTGCAGGCATCACATGTTTTTTGACAAAGTGATGTAGATGCCTGTTTCAAATGGCAATAGCACTTAGCTTTCTTTTCAGAGTTTATATGGGGCAAAAACAGCCAGTTATGTTGCATAGAAACTACGCTATATACATTACCTGTTCTCCAAAGCTCTCAAGAATCTTTTTCCTACGGCACCCAGAACCTTCACAATATTCAACCATCTACATATAGCATTTACTCAGAATTATTAAAGCATTGGCAACAAGGAGTGTTTAATTGCACCAGGATGACTTCAAACTGACCTCATTAAAGTTTGACAAGGATTTTTTCGACAGCTCCCCTTGTGAGCTTGAGGACTGTAATTTCTTGCTCTCAGCATTCCCTAGAATAAATTCCTGCCATTTAGTCCAACATAATTAATAGAGATTTTCAGATATGCTTCATAAACTGAAAAGAAGATATAAAGTTTCAGCCTGTGGACTAACCATTCTTTTTCGATCATCAATACCATAGTACAACAGACTTCTTGAAGGCAACTGATCACGTCCAGCTCTGCCTGACTCTTGATAAAAGGCTTCCATAGACTTTGGGATATTAAAATGACAAACTATTCTGACATCTTGTCTGTCTATACCCTAGATATGTCAGTTAGAAGCAAATAGTGGTTATGGAAAATTTTCTACACGTACAAGGTTCGTTCAAATTTTTCAGTAATTTAGTTCCATACCATCCTGAAGGAAGAGCAGTATCTGAATTACTGTGCACACACCACAGCAGCTCCAAGTAGGATATAAAAGAAAAAGGCTAAAATTCATCACAATCTAACACAAATTCAAATTGAATAACGAAAAGAGAGACTTTTAAAAGGCATTCCTCAAATCCAGTACAGCCATAAAGATCTATTGGCAATTTCAGAGACTAGATCTTTCATTTGCATCATAAGTTCAGTACTGGTAATTCAAAAACATTTTATATATTAAGCTAACAAACATACAACAAAAATGCTCTATAAGGTAATTTTTCCATCGATCATACCCAAATGCCACTGTGGCCACAACAACTTGTATCTTGGAGGAAATCCAATCATCTAAAACAGATGTGCGCAATTTGTTATTTAACCCTGCATGATAAGCTAAAAAGGAAATGTAAAACATGTCAGTGATATTAGCCAGTAACCTAGTTTCGAAAGGCAAGAAAAGAACAAATTATTACCAGCACATGAAATGCCATTTCTAGAAAGATGAATGGACAACTCATCACAGGTAGCACGTTCAAGACAGTAAACAATTGCACAAACATCTCCATAGGATTTGAGAATGTTGCACAAATCCGCATAGGCATCATCCAAAAGATCTTTGTATCGAACTGCATTATTAGGAATCTTAGATGCAGAATAATTGCAAGGAGTACAGAGAAAAATGTAATAACAGACTTTGACAAACAATTCATATTAAATCAAAAAAAATATATTGCAGATGGCCACAATGGTTCTTCATATCAAGCTCAGAACCTACCTTCATAATAAATATTTGGACGGTTGAAAGAAGACTTAAGGACTACAGGATTTTGCAAGCTTAAAGAGTCTATAACATCCTTCTGAACCCTGCAAAATGAGGAAAACAATTAATACATCTAAATCTAACATGTCTGAGATTAAAGCTTGGTTCAGTCAAGCATCTTGCTCTTGAACAAGGTATTCCTTGAAAGCCAGATTTCTTTTAAGCAAATATAGTTTCATTTTCCTCATTCTTCTTGCTTACAGATAACACTGAGTAACCTCAATGTAACATTTCCATATATTTTGCTATTCTAGAGTGGGCTTTCTGGGAAGCAAGTCCACCACATACTAACTAATGGGTACACTTGTCAATCATCAATGCAGCTTGCTAAAAGTTTTTTTGGCCAAAACTTGCCAATAAATAGCATGCAACAATTAGAAGGTTAAATTTCAAAATTAGATAAAAGATTGTCCCTAACATGATTCTATTGAGAGAAACATCCTAATCCATAAGAAAAGCATTTTCTTCCTCAGAAAACCATAAAGTATGTTACCATACTCACTTGGGAGCTGCAGTAGCCGTCAAAGCCAATATTGGTACATCTGGGACCCGGTTCCTCAAAGATGAAAGCTTACGATAACTAGGCCTGTTTCAATAATTAGGTAATGAATACCAACAGAAGAGATTAGTGATCTTGTCATAAGAGTTTCAACAGTACATAAGTTCAGATATGTATGAGACATCTAATTTGAAATGGTAAACAGAATCTCAGAAAATGACATGGACTGAACCTAAAAAGACTAAACATGAACAAGCAGATGCATAGTTTAGTTTCTCACTTCTCACTTAATACCCCAGTAAAAACAATTTGACATAATTTCCCAACAGGTATCCAACAGAAACGTTTATGGATACTGCCTGACATTTCTTTACATGTTTCCTTTTCAAAGGAACAGTTCTTGCTCAGAACTAGCTAATCACAAACCTGAAATCATGGCCCCATGTTGAGATGCAGTGAGCCTGAAAATTTCAGAAAAAAAAGAGTGAAATTTAATATAAAATGCCCAAAACTACTTTTGAAAGAACAAGAAGTTCCTTACACTAAAACGTAAATATTATTACCTCATCTATAGCAATTAGATTCAATAATCCTCTAGAGTGAATCTTTGCCAACTTTGACATAAACCCCAGAGTTGCAATAAGTTCTGGTGTTACATACAGCAATCTCAGAGATGGTTTTCCAGAATCAAGGTCTTCATGAATCTTAGAAAAAGAACAGAAATATCAACTTTTCAGAAACATAGCGTATACAAAAGAGGTAAATATATACTAAAGGCAATCACTCTTATGCATTATAAAGCAACAGAAATAGAAAGGTGCCATGCAATTGTAACAAACGAGACAAGAATAAGATGAAACCCTAAAGGCATGATTCACCATACACTACATGGTTACCTATGAACCAATACTCTGTAGCACTAGTTTAATTTGTTGGCAGTTAAGAATGAATCCTTAACTGTTAAATCTCATATTGTCGAAGAACCCCCAGTAACAATGCATTCACAACTGAGCACGTAGATCTCAACTCAACCAAAATCAGTAACATTTGATGGCAACCACTGAAGAGTTACCTTATTTTTTACATGTGATGTTTGGGTCGAAGAGAGATATTCCGCAGCAATTCCTTTCTCCTTCAATGCCATCACTTGGTTTTCCTAGTTTCCAAACAATACATCACAAGTCTAACAAAATTCAGAGAATCACATAAAAGAATGGATACTAAAAGACTGCAAAACAAGGTACTCACCATCAAGGCTGCCAGTAAAATTGGAGAACAGAAGATCAAGTTTAAAGCAATTTCCTGGAGAATCAAAAACCAAGAAAAAAACACTAGTGCAGTATAAAATTCCTCGTATACATGAAATCAAAATTAAAAAGGATGGATGACGGTCACCTATTAATGGAGAAACAACAAGCACGATTCCTGTTTTCGCCAGAGCCGGAATTTGATAACACATTGATTTCCCTCCTCCAGTCGGCATTAGACAAAAACAATCTCTACCTGCACGCAGAGAAATAACGGAGAACTTAAGAATCATGGCGGCCGCTAGGATTAGCTGCAGAAAATTTGGGCGGGTACCTGATAAAACAGCTTGGATTGCCTCCAACTGCTTGCCGCGGAAATCGGAATAACCGAAATGCCATCTCAAAAGCTTAACCAGAGCTTCCTTGCCGGAAACCTGCTTCTCAGTGCCGCCGGATATCTTTTTCGCCGGCAGTAGCGACTTCTTCATTTCAAATTCTTCTCAAATCCGTTCTTCAGTTCCCGATAATTGCCGCAATGACACCACTCCGTTTTCTTTCAATCGGCTCCGCTTGCCGCCGGATCACGGTGCATCTTTGCATTTTGCCATGGCACGGTGGCTTTCTCGGCACAGCCCAATCGAACTTCCTAATCTTCTGTTAAGTTTTTGAGCACAAAAACAACCAACTAAGAATAAAAATAATATTTCTCTTCTCTCTTTTTCAAAAATGTAATTAAGTTTAATATTTCATTAATTTATTTAATTAAATAAAAATAATATTTCTCTTCTCTCGTTTTCTTTTATTTTAATTTATCCAAATAAAATTAATAACAATCCTTTCTCTCTCTCCTTTTTTTTTTAATTTTCTTTACTAACTTTTATCCAAATATATTCTTAAAGATATTATAGTTTAGTGCTTATAGTTAGGGTTTATTAGATTTCTTTATTTGTTTAAAGAAATTAAAATTTTAAATTTTAAATGATTTTTAGGAAAAATTGTATATCAATCGTACCTGCAAAAATTATGCTAAAAAGATTTGAAAATTATGTTAAAATTTTTTTAAAATTATATTGTTTTAATAAAATCCTCCTAAAAAAACTAAAACATCTCAATTTTAAAGTATACATAATGTTATTTTAATCTTTTTTATTGTATTTTATTAAAATAATATAAATTTTAAATATCTTTTTATTTAATTTTTTTACTATCTCATTGATAAATATTGATCTCTTTTTTTTTTTATATTAACTTACCTACGGTAAGCGGCAAAAATCTTAAAAGGCGGAACAAAATTGCGGGAGGTAAATGAAAAATTTTCCAAAAATAGAGTGGCAAAAGATTAAAAAATTAAAAATATTCAATGGGCTGTTGGTTTGATGGGCCTTCCGTGCGGTTATGCAGTTTTTGTCATATTAACCCTTGTAGAAAGTTGAAATATCAAATATCGCATATTTATTTATCAAAATTTTCTGGCAATTTCAGGGCAACAAAAATCAAATTCCAATCACAACTTCTTGTATTTTCTCGATTGGAGGTATGATTGTTTTTCCAATTTTCACTTTAATTCATCAAAATAAAAATATCTACATTTTAGGTTTCTGTCCAAATTTAGGGATAATTAGTATGATTTTTCAGTGAGAAGCCATTCCATCCATCTGGGTTTTCTTCTTTTTCGTTTTGTTTTGATAAAAATGTGATCTTGATGGGTGTTTCCCATAATTTGAATGTTTGATGATTCTTTTTTTTTTTTTTTTGACAGAGAGATGGTTTTCTTATGCTGGGGTAGACCTTCTTCTGAACAGCAGAAATCTTGCATAAACAAGTAATTG